TTCTTCATTAGCACTCACATTCACTCTTTTAACAGTTAATTTCTGAGGTTCACTACAATATTAGTCATGTGGCTCTCRGTCAGTCAATTAACCTCTTTGGGCTTCACTCATCTGTTCAATGGAAATGATGGCATGAGTCATCAACCTCTGCTATGTCCACTGTACCTGCCCTCCATGAGCATGGGTTAAGAGTCAGCTAGTCTTRGACAACATAGGAGGTAGAAGACCAGGTTTCTGGTTCTGGATTTGCTCTTGGCTGGCTAGGTGACCATGGGAGAGTTAGTCTCTGAGCCTCTATCTGTTAACACAGGGTTGCCAGAAGGCCCGATTGGTACAGGGTTAAGTAAACTGTAAAATACCAAAAATAGATCTTTTAAATCATAAGTTTTCACCCAGATATAGTTAATGGGAAAGGGAATGGCTTAGGGGACATAAAAGTCCTCTTACACCATGGACAGAGCCCTCCGTGTGCTATCCTCACCATGCAGTACTGTTTGGAGAGTAGYTGTGCCAGTTCCCATAAATGTCCTCCCCACAGATCTGACTTCAAGCACTGAGAAATATTTATATGGAGGGGGTGACAACAACCATCTACTTGGACAGTACTGGCTGCTTTCTATAGTGCCTCTTCTCCAAACCCCTCATAATAGCCTCACTTCGAACTCCCTGTTCTGAGCAGGCTRGAGTTCTTGCTCTGCTTTATAGACAAGAAGATTCAGACTCAGAAAGGCTGGATGACTTGTCCAAGATTGCATATTCAGTCACAGCAGATGGGAGATAAAAATCCAGGAAACTTGATTCCATCTGTGATGTGCTTTTCCCTGCCACCACTACCAAGTTTAGAAAAAAGCAAATAAATAAATAGCTGAGTAGCTGGCAAAATCTGAGTAGAAACTCAGAGACAAGAAAATCACAATAAATGTAACTGTCTTCCTAAGCTTATGGTTTACTAAGGTGTCCCTGTAAGCAACTTCCTCAAGACAGGGACAGAGAGACACTCACTTTCAAGTTCCCAGCATAGAGCCATGACACATAACAGGGTCTTGGAAACTCTGAGTAAATAATAATATATTCCTTATATTTTTATTATATTTTAAAGTTTGCAAAGTTCTGTAAGACTTTACATCTCAGTTTACAATGGGACATACGACATAGATCCTTAAGGGGCCCCCTAAAGTATGGGAGCAGGCATGATACCGAGAGGCCACTCAGTGACAGCCCATCTGCCTGTGGACTTGCAGGTCATGTGACCTCTGTTATGGCCTACTGAGATTGGAGGCSGAACCAGCACCCTCTTTTCACTAAACACGGATGTTTTTCGTTTTGCAAAAACAAACAAAAGAAAATGCCATCTAAAGTTTCTCTGGCTTCCCACCCTCCATCAATTTGGGGGATTTTTCTTTTAATTCYAATGAGGGACATTTTTAACTTTTCATTCTGCCGTATGCATACAGTTTTGTGGGGAAGTCATCTACTCTTACAACCACTAGACTTAGGGCTGGATATTTGCATTTGGAGTTTAACTTTACCATTCTTTGGTAGTCTGTTGAAGCACAGGATTCCTTTCAATGTTTAAAACATATAAAACGTGCAAGTGCATAAAGTATATAAGATCATAAAGATACCCAATTAGACTTATCAAAAATATTYTAAAAACACATTTTGCGGGGGATAGTAGAGGATAGGAAGGGCAGCAGAATACAACAGACACTAGTATGGCAGTATGTAAAAAAGTGGATGTGTAACCRATGTGAATCTGCAATATGTATACGGGGTAAAAATGGGAGTTCATAATCTGCTTGAATCAAATGTATGAAATATGATATGTCAAGAGCTTTGTAATGTTTTGAACAACTAATAAAAAAATTTAAAAAAATTTAAAAAAATAAAAACACATTTTGATTAATCAAAGATGTGTTTCTTTAAATAATGTGATTCAGAGGCAGGTCTAATAACTATCATGAGTTTTACATAGGGATGACGTAACTGGTACTGAGGTCTGTCACAACTGTAGTGGATACACAAGTATCATGATTACCTTTGGTGATAAAGTCCTATGTACTGCTACTACTATCGTCTGTTGTCTTTCTTTATAACTGAAATGAGSTAGTGAAATTAATACTAATTTTATTTTTCATCTTAGTTTACAGACCCCCTCCCTTGACTTCAAAAGATCCCAGGTTAGGACTTCTAGACGTAAGTGGCATGCTCTCTCTGTAACCTGCCTTATGGGCCTGGTGAGGTTGGACTGAGAACTGGAGGCTGAGATGAACAAAGAGCATCTGCTGGGACGCTACACCTCCCCACTTACATGTAAGCCTTGTAATTGCCACCAATCTTCTGGACTCGGATGTCATACTTGGCGTCAATGAAGGGTTCTGCTGTGGCGTAGGTCTGAGTGAGGGCCACCACACTAGCAATGTCCTGGAAGTCGTAGTGGTTTTCCACTTTGACCTAATGTTGGAATTAGGCAAACAGGAAGAAAGGGAGACCTTAGTCAAAAGGCCCTGAAGCCTTCAAACCCAACTGAAAAGTGCCCTTCTTTATCCGCCCCCCCCCCCCCCCAAAGTATGGGGGATTGAAGCTAGGGCCTCATGCATGCTAGGCAAGAGCTCTACTGAGCTACCTCTCCAGCAAAAACACCCTTCTGAGCCCAACTCCACACCACTGCAGCCCCCCCTGCCTTACCTTGCCCATACCGGAGTGAGCATGGCCAATCTTCACCACCACGGGGAATGTGGGCAGTGTCAGCTGAAGGCAGAGAAGAAAGGAACAAACTGGTCAGGTGTGCCTCTCTCTCTGTGGAATCCTACGCATATTTTTCTTAGGAACACCCTTTGGAGGATCCTTAAAGAACCAGACCAACCTATTTGCTTTACAAATTAAGAAACTGGACTCATAGAATGACAGTGACTTTCCCAAAGTCKCACAGCATGTTAGAGGAAGAGCTCTTCTGAACCTTGTTCTTACTCTCTGTATCTCGCTGCTTCAATCTTCTCTGTTAGACAAACACTGGGCGGGACTGGCTCTCAGCTAAAGATGTATGTAAATTGTGTCTTAATTAACCCGAAGCTTTTTTTGAATGCATATTTATTATCATCATGTATCTCTTAGTACCTACCCCTTCAAAAATACTGACCCAGATGTACTCTTCTTCATTCAGAGTCTTTGCTGCTCACCAACACYACAAACTAAACCCCAAACATGGCTTATTATGTTAAGGCCTATTTCTGCCCAGCTTTGAGTTTGGAAGAGAGCTCATGTAAGAATTCAATATGTTTACCCTTGGAAAGGGATCCTTATGAAAATGAATGCATTCTTGAAGTAGCCTTATTTTAACAGAGGAGCAATAAGAACTTAAAAGAAAGAATTACCCTCCAAAGACAGAATTTTGAGATGTTAAAAAAAAAAAAGCCAAATGAAAAGAAATAATGTGGTAGAGTATACAGAGCACTAGAATAAACGTAAGGATACTTGTTTTCTAGTGCTTTCTGCCACTAACTTTCTATAAGTCACTTTATATCACTGAGCCTCAGCCTTCACACCTGTCAAATGAATGATTGGACTGGATGCTTCTGAGATCCCTCCAAATAATACATTCAGCTCTTATCTTGGTCTAGACATGGGATGAAGAACCAACCTGGACACCAGCTTGAACCTATCCTGTCAGTCTCTCTCCTTTCAAATGTCACCAATACCATCCAAGTGAAAAGATGTCCTCTGAAGAAGATAATGGCCACCCTGATGAAAAAGTCAGATTCCCATGGAATCCTGGTGTGAGGAGATCCTGGGAGAATGTGACCTGGGGATTTCAGCATTCCTGGCTGAAGCCAGTGGAGGCTGGGGGAAAGGGCTTCAAAGGGCTTCAGAAAACATGTACTTCAGGGCTGAGGGTGTAGCCCAGTGGGACAGTGCTTGCCTAGCTTGTGCAAGGCTCCTTGATCCCCAGCACTGAAGAAGAAGGAGAAGGAGAAGAAGAAGGAGAAGGAGAAGAAGATCATGTAGTTCAAGTCTATATTATGGAGAAAAAACTGAGGTTCTGCAAAGTAAAGGTGACAAAGCTACTTAATGACAGAATCAGAACCTGACCTTCTACTTTCTATAGTTATAATTCAATGGTTCTCCTTCTATGGCGAGCCTTGGACAGTGGACAAAGCTTGGGTCACAACGAGCCAGAGTCCCTTACTTCTTTGGCCTCCAAGCTTCCCCACGTAGTCTCCAGTGGCTATAACATGCAATAACAATCAGAATCGCCCAGGAACTGGAAACAGGGCTTTGAGGTCCACAGTTTGTCCTAAGTGAAGGGACACCTGAGAGAACGGTCCCTTGCTATCTGCAGTCTAAGGCTCCCGCTTGGAGAAAGGGTTTCTAAGCACAGGCTGCTGTCTCTGACATCTCTCCCCACCCCCCAGCGGACAGAGCCAAGACACACACACACACACCCCAACTTTCTCTGTCCCTTCCCTTACTGTTTGCTGTTGCTTTGGAGCCTCATAAATAGGGCAYTGAAAACACTTCCTGCAGCTGAAAGGAGCCCTGAGTAGCTTGTCTCATCCCCAGTATGCCGCTCAGCAAGGGTCCGTCCTTCTCCATCACTGTGTGTTTTGCCTGTTGTATTTCCGTCTGTCTCTCTTGGCCTCTGCCTGTCTCCTCCTCTCTGAGCCTCTCCTCACTGTCCCTTGTGCCTGAATCCCAGCCCCCGGTCTTTCTGCCCTGGGGCGTTAGTCTTGGGTGCTCTTCTCTTTTTGCCCCTGACAGCATCCCTCTCCCAGTGTCTGCCCTCTACTTCCAGAGGCTTAGCTCCTCAGGATCCTCACTAACTCTCACTGAGATGGTCAGTTGGAGGGTCTCGGGTCCTGCCGCCACGGGTGGCCTCAAGCCAAAGGARGGCGACGGGATTGGTTCTATGGTCATCTCGTAGAGCTGAGGTGGGGGTGGGTGGGTGGAGGGCCGGGCGTTCTAAGGTGCCTTGGACCGACTGTTTTGGTCCGACAGACCCCACAGGCTCCGATGGGGCTCTGCGGTGTCGTGCTCTGGAGCCCCTCAGTCGCGACGAGCAGGACGCTGGTGCTGGGACTGCTGGCTTTGCTGTGGCCCCCGGGGCGGGGCGAGGCGTGCAGCTGCCTCCCAACGCACCCGCAGCAGCATTTCTGCCGCTCGGCGGTTGGTGAGTCCGGCCCAGGCGGYCCACAGCAGGGGCGGGGGCGGTGGGGACTGGCTCTGGCTGAGCGGTAGACCAGGAGTCTGAGGAAAGGGGAGGAGCTCAACCCCCCCTTCACCGTTGCCTCCTGCTGAGGCTGATGGGTTGAAAGGGCTGGCGCCAGAGCAACCTTGCAAGCACAGAGTCTGATTTGTAAGAAAATAGATTGTCCGGACCTCTACAGCGACGCCCCTCATCCTGACCATACTGCAACCTGGGAGTATCATTAACTGGAGTGTCACCAGAGTGATCCAGCTGGGTTGGGGGTGGGGCCTGTCTCTKTCCAAGACCATAACTGAGGTTGCCACCCGGTCCCCATCCCAACTCTGATCTTTTGCCCTTTCTCTCCTCTCTATCTGGATGCCCTTTCCCCATACCCTCGCATTCCTGGCCAACTCCAATTCATCCTCCAAGGGCTAACTCAGGACCGCTCTTTGGAGGCTTCCTTGCTCCCTGGCTACCACTGTGTCTCTACCAAGTTTGTGCTTCTACTATTCAGTGTTATTGGTGTTTATAGGCACATCCTCTGATAGACCAAAAGTTCTGCAGGATAGGGACCCTGTTGCAATCACATCTGTGGGACTTGTGCCTAGTTCAAGACCAAGAGGAAGACTTTCATAAGCAGTTTTTTTGATTAACRCCCAAATGGCAAGAGATGGGTTTTCTCAACAGGGCCAGAATATTTATGGATTCAATAAACATTTACTAATATCAACTCTGGGAGAGCTTTGAGGCTCTGAGCTATTTCAACAGATGAGCCTCACAGGAATCCTGCAAGGGGCTCCTTCCAGCTCAACCACTCTGACTCCTCCCCTTTGCCCACGGTTCTCAGAGTTCCAGGAACTAGAGCTTTCCAAAGTAACAGGTTGACCACGGCCCAAAAAGCACAGAGGCTGAGGACCTAAGAATCCCAAAGAGTTTGAACTTGCAGTCACTGCAGAACTCTATCACACCACTCCCAACACCTGAAATTCTCCAGATCCCAAATAGACTGCTCCAAGTGCTAATGGTTTCTTCCCTCTTTCTTCTCCCTGTGCAGTGATTCGGGCCAAAGTCACCAGTGAGAAGATAGTGACTGCTAATGAAGACCCTTCTAACCCTAACAAATTGCTSCGGTATGAACTCAAACGGATGAAGGTACATGGGGGCAGGACAGGGCGTTTACCCTCACTAGGCAGGTAGAGGGAAATGGGGTCTGTGTTTTGGGAGGGTAGGTTTCAGACAATCGGGTTCAGTGAACTTTTTGTAGACATGGTGAAGTGGAACTGGTTGGAATGTTGGGGGGGGGCCACAAAACCCAAGGGCAGTGCAGTGTGGGCGCCTCAGTGGGTCCCATAGCTGCCATTGAGGTACCTTTCCTTCCACTGGAATAAATTAAGTTTAGATTTAAAAAAAAATTTTTTTTAAGACAAAGACAACCCAGTAGGAGTCTGTGGATTCTGAGTGCACCAATTCTGAAACTAGACTTTCACTTTATTATTGAGACTGAGAAAAGAGAAGTTTTTGCCTGTTAATATACAAATTATACTCACTGACCAAATTCTGTGTTTTTGGGTTTGTTTTCGAGTTTTTTTTTTTTTTTCAATTGTCTTTCAGATGTTTAAAGGGGTTGAGAAAGTCAAGGAGGTTCGCTATGTCTACACCTCTGTGAACACTTCTCTCTGTGGAACTAGAATAGCAGTCAACAGTAAGAGGCAGTACTTTATAACTGGTAAGTCAAAGACTAGCAACTGGTGGGGATGGAGTTTGTCCCAAGGAGGTCCTGAGGCAGGAGCCAGGGCCTTCCTGGGGCAGCAGGCCAGCCAGGTGGCATTTTATTACACATAAAAACAGTTGTGATAGTGACAGCCTGTTAGTTGGGGGGAGTCTTGGTGACCTCTCATTAAGGCAAGAGTTTTCCTTAGAATGATCTTGGCCACTGCTTCCCAGTTTTAAGGAAATGATGCTCTCCCAGGCTCGGGCAGTAAGCTCCATTTTGAAACAGTTTTAATTAGCATAAGATTTTTGGCATTTTGATCAAAATCTGTCCCCTGAAACTGCTCCTTATGGGTTATCCCTGCCTTTTGCATGGACCCTAATAAGAGCCTTGAGTCTAACACAGTTCTTTCCATGAACTTGGGCACAGGCAAGCCTCCATTGTGAAATGGTTTGGATGGAACAGTTAAAGAACTGTATAAGAATATGACTTCATAAACTRATAAATACAACACTAAATTATTTTGGAGTTTAAGGAAAGGAGGTATTTGTGTGACTGGGAACAATCAAGGAAGCTTTGCGGTATAAGTGAGACCTAAACTGGCCTCTTTCAAAAGATGAAAAATGGCTGGTCCCAGTGACTTTGGAGGCTGAGGCAGGAGGACTGCAAGTTCAAGGCCAGCTTTAGTAACTGAGATTCTGTCTCAAAAATTTAAAAAAGGCGGTGGGGGGGGGAAGGCTGGGGTTGTAGCTTAGTGGTAGAGTGCTTCTGGATTCAGTCCCCAGTAAGTACTTCCCCTCACCAACAAAATAAATAAATAAGGAAGAAAAAAAAAAAAAGAAAAAGAAAAACTATCTAGGAAGAAAGCAAGGAAAATGAAGAGCATAGCAGGTGGAGAGAACAGGCAGAATTCTACCTTCCATTTATCCATTCAACAACAAAAGACCACCTACAACACACTGCCAGGCCTTGGACAGGAGAATGGAAATTCAAAAAACAAGTCATAGACTTCAAAGAGTTYGGACATGGCTCTTGAGGAGTGGCAGGCATTGGAGGCCACACTGAGAGAGGTTAGCTCTAAGGATGTGGAATTGTGCTGAGCAGGGAGCTCCTGGATGGGAGACATGGCATGCTGCTGAGCCCTCTGGTTCCCAGCAGACCAGTGCTAACCCTCTGTGTGTCTAGCCATTTGTTAGACTCTTAGGTACAAACTCTCTGCCCTCAAGATCAAGTATAACTGAGGATTGGGATAAACAACAAAACATAAGTCCGTGGAAAAGTCATCAGTGACACCTGTACCCTTCTGAGAAAGTCAGAAACTCTTTTTTGCCAGATTATGAAAGCCCTTTGAGACCAGAACACCGCTGACCTTTCTAGCTTGGTCTTCTGCTATCTGTCATAATAGTTCCTTGACCCTTCTTCTCCCAGAGCTGAAATAAACTATTTGGAGCTGCAGAAGGTGTGCCAATGGGATGTCATTCTGCCTTGGTGTAGGACAGTCCCAATGTTCAGAAGACCTCCACTTATTTGACAGACGAAGTCCTCCCCATCCCTCCTAAGCACAGCACAATCTTCCCTCCTCGGAGACACTTTTTTTTTCACTCCACCTGTTCCTTACCTGGAGATAATTGGACCTCCTTTGCTCTTACACTACATCTTCTATATAATCATACCATAAGGTCATTTTTGCCTACTTATGGGTCACATTTGAAGTTTCTTGGAGGCAGAGTCCTGTCCTATTTATTTCTGTATTCCTGGTACTGGGTTCTAGCTGCTGTGATTTGTGAGCAAATGACTGAGCAACAGAAGTTCTAGGAGATGTGAAGGCCTACATGGACAAGGTATTATTAAAAAGGATCTTTGAAAGATAGGAAGGAGCTTGGTAGGAAAGAAGGGGAACTTTCTAATGTGCAAAGACTCACCAGGGGACAGAAGACTGGCCTAGGTAGATATTGGCAAAGACTGGAAAGGGGAAGGGATCCTATTATTTATTGAACATTTTCTGTGAATCTTCAACTGTATGGGGAATTCTGCAGACATTTCTCATTTAATATTGACCACAACTTTATTATTATTATCTTCCAGTTGAAAGATTTCGTGACTTTCTTTAAGGTTATACAGCAAGTAATTGAAAAGAAGAGGATCCCGCATAGAGTCTCACTTTTATTTTTTTAGGGATTAAATCCAAGACATTACACATGCTAGGAAAGCACCTACTTTAGCTACACCCCCCAGAGCTCCTGAAGTCTGATTTTAAAGCCCACCTTCTCTCTGTACCTACTAGAGAAAAATGTCTTTACCAGACCCCACAATTCTACCTTGCACAAGCATAATATATATCTCCTGCTATAAAAATTATAGTTTTTTTTCCAGTTCCTTCATTGAGCCCCATATCGCTACTCCTATCAAAAAGCCACTGGACCCTGCCCATTTTTAACCAGCACAGAGGCCCCTGAGTTATTTTGTTGGAAGATTYAATAAGATGCAGAAGCTCAAGAAGTAGAGGTTAACAGATAAAATTTACATCAGGTTTCTTAATTAAAACAAAGATCCGTATCAACCTTTGGTCTAATTTTGGTAATTCACAGTTAAACACTGAAAATTAAAAATCAATACATTTTATTGCTTACAAATCTSTATATCTAAATTTAAAACATTTCTGTTTATAGCTAGAAATTGTGTTTCCTTCATTCTTTCAACTGAATATGCCTTAAAATAAAATTCTGATTTTTTTCATTGGGAAAAAAAAGCCATTGGAGATTGTGGTGTAGCTCAGTGGCAAAGCAYATGCAAGGCCTGGGTTTAATTGCCAGTAATAAATAGATAAATAAATTAATAGGGGCTGGRGTTGTGGCTCAGCAGTAGAGCGCTTGCCTAGCAAGTGCAAGGACCTGGGTTTGATCCTTAGCACCACATAAAAATAAATAAACAAAATAAAGGTATCATGAAGAACTAAAAAAATAAATATTTTTAAAATAAGCAAACAAATAAACCAACCAACCACTGGAGCTTTGGCTCATCATTGGCTATAATTCTGGGTTCTTGAAGGACCCAGGACTCTAGGAGCACAGTTCTGATGTTATATTCTCTTCTATCTCCCCATGAAGGTAATGTTCTCAATGGTGGAAAAATCTTCATCAATATGTGTAACTATATCCAGCCTTGGGAAAACGTGTCCATGGCGCAGAGACAGAGTCTGAATCACCACTATCTTTTCAACTGTGACTGCGAAGTGAGGGGGGTCCATTTCTAATACGATCTGGGGTGGGTGAGGGTCTTAAGCCTTGTAGACTCACCCTTCATRATTCTTTCCTTCATGTATTTATTTATCAATCATATTCTACTTGAAATATGGATCAGACACTGCATGAAGTTGGGGGTGAAAAAGCAAGAAAGAGTCCATAGTCCCTGACCTCAAAGAACTTAACATTTTGGCTGGTAGAGTGGTCATCATATAAAGCAAGGAGATGACTTTATCACAGCCACTATTTAGAGAGAGCCTACTTTTTGCTGGACCCTKTAGTAGTCAATTTATTTTAAATATTTAATTTGGTCTCCATAACACATTTRTAAAGAAATAAGACTTCCATTTTAAGGTAAAGAAATCAAAGCTCTGGGAAGTGAAGTACTTGCTCAAGGTCAGTAGTAGATTCCAGAAATATTAGAAAGGTAATTCTTACACAAGGAGCATGGGGCAGGAGAATTCAGGGGAAGAGTGGGGACGAGGAAAGGCTTCATAAGACATGGGGGGCAGTCGAAAAGGGCTGGGAGGATATGTTGGGGTCTGACAGCAGCAACAGAAGAGGAAGGGCCTCTTCCTCACTCTGATTTTGTGGCTATGACTCTAGGTTACCATCTGCTACTCACCGACCTGTAACAAATCGATGCGCAATCAGTGTCTCTGGACAGACTGGCTGTTGGAACGGAAGCTCTATGGGAACCAGGCCCACCATTTTTTCTGCAAGAAGAATGAGGATGGCAGCTGCAAATGGCAGCTGGTACACCACCCCAATAGGGAGGAGTTTGTTGACGTCATCGAGCCTTAGTAAAGACCAGTGACCACCACAGCCTTTCGAGAGACCTGAAGACCAATCCTTCACTGTGGAACTCTGTTACCATCTACCCTGTTGCTGCCAGCCAATGGGAAGTGCCAAGTGGAAGGCCTTACCAACATCATGGCAGGGATGGGGAACATTACTCTTGTGTCTAAGAGCCTAGTCCATAACCTGGGAAGGTAGCATGACTTTTTTGTCCTGACCTCATTCCTTCTCTGCTTCCTCCCAACCCCTACCCGCAATAGTTTAATCTATTATTGAAAGTTTTGATCTGGTTTACTTTGTTTTCCAAGGCCAAGACTAATTCCTTTTCTCCCCAGGAAAATAAGTGTTGTTTACCTTAAATGATCTGATAGGGGAGAAACGGTGAATGTTATACCTATGAAATGGTGCAGCCCTGTGATGTATAATAACAGAAGATGGGTTGACCACAGTGGTAATGAAATGAACAACACTATGGCTATGTGTCCTCTACTCCTACTAACTCCATTCATCCTAATCCTCTCATGTACTCTCATCTACTTAGGGGACCCAGAATTACTCTGTGTGAGAGCTAAACAGCCTCACCTTCCTCTCTATGCGGCAATCCCCTTGACACCATTCCTGGCAGAAGATCCTAGCACACCTCTGGATAGGAGCAGACTTGCTGTCTAGGAATGAATACTTTCCCTCCAGGTTAACTATTCCTGGTTCCCTCAGCTGATGTCCGGAGGCTGTCCCTTCTGCCTCTTTAAGGTTACTAATGTCTTCATTACTTCATGACTCTTTTTTTTTTAACTTTTCTTTTTCTTCGTTGTAGATGGACCTTTATTTTATTCATTTATCTTTATGTGGTACTAAGAATTGAGCCTTTTTTCTTTTTTTAAGCCAAAAGGCCTTTCTCTTGCAGAGTGGAAATTACCCCTTCATCAGCTTTTGACATCCTGAGAGATGACCTCCTGGGTGCATATTTCAGGATAAGAGGATAGGAGAGAAATATCAAAGGACCCTGGGGGGAAAGAGGAGGAATACATCCTGCACTTAATGTAATTTTCTTCCCCATTGGTCAGCCCTGCTAGATGTTATAGCAGGAAAAAAATTGCTTTGATCCTCAGAGACTTCCTTCATTGCCTGCCTCCTCATTGTGTCCTAGACTACCTGAGATCTCCAGCCTTGGCCCCTCAGGGTTCCTCGGGCCTTCTGCAAACCTTCCTGGCTTGCCTTAAATGGGAAAATCCTCATATTAACCTCTAGGATTTATTTAGGGCAAGGGTTTAAAATTCCAGAGCCTCTCCCTGAGGAAGTTCTGGTGAAGATGATGTTGGACATAGTTCTTTTCAAGGTCCAACTCCTCTCCCTCCAGCCCCAAATCTCCCATATGTGTGGTCTGCTGGTAAGCAGGGTTATGTACAATGTGCTAGAAGAAGGCTCAGGATTCACAGAAATGCTGCAAATGGAGATCCCTTTTGGGGGAAGGAATAGGAGGGTGAACAACACGGTCTTTGTCCCAGAGCACACTACTTGCAAGGCTTTGGCAGCTAGTTTCCACTGGTAGGTTAAGCAGGATCACATCTGATCACACCAGCCTTGGGCAGAGGGTGTGGACAGTAAGGAAGATGGGAGCTTGAGCTCCAGGCTCTGCTGGAGGAAAATCCTTAGTCACAGCCTTCTATGGACAAAACATCCCATCTCGCTGATTTTTCTGACCTCCTAGGTTGGACTCAGAAAAAGCACAGGGTTAGCCCAGCCTTATCCCAATTGGAGGAAGCCAAGGGAATGGAAGTCTGGTGAATAATTCAAGAGCAACAGCTTATATCTAAGGAGAGCTTCACGTATCAGAAAACTATTACTAAGAGATTCTTTAAGTTTTGTACCTATCGTGTTAGACATCCTGGTCAGGGATAGTTTTGCCCACCTGGGTGGTTGGAAAACTGACACAAGAGTGAGGAAATGTAACTTGCAGAGATACCTGGTTCTGACCGGAGATACAACTCCAAGTAGTGAGATCTTCTGATTGTTGGTCCACAGGTTCGTTACTCCCTTAGATTTATTAAACTGCCCTTGTTGCTGTTATTTCCTATTCTGTCTCCAGAATTTAAAAACAAGAGGTTGTTGGCCAAAATCCAGTTACTATAGCTCCACAAAGTGACTTGATAGTTCCATTCCAGTGGAATCTTTGGGGTTGAGATGGTGAGATCCATGTGGTTAATTAAGCTCAGAGGGCAAACAGCAGAGACTCAGTCCCTACTTAGCACCTACCATCTCTTTGTGGTTGGGGTAGTATGTTTGCTCAATGAGTGGGAACTTGTCTCCTCCAAGTGTCTTGTAGATGGCCACCATCTGGGCAAACTGCAAAAGAGAAGAAAACATTTCAGCTTACTTCGGACAACTTCTGGAACAGGGGGACAAAGCATCAATCCATGAAACAAATACTGAGCACTTTCTCTACTGAAGGCTTTGTGCTAAGCACATTGAAGACATAAGTGAACATCTAATTTCTGTTCTCAAGGAACATACGCTTTAGTTGGGGAAGGGAAAGAGAGAGGGAGAGGGAGAGGGAGAGGGAGAGGGAGAGGGCAAGAACTTTAAGTGAGCACTTATTCAGTTTTAATGGTATTTCATTTACTGAAAAGAGGTGATTCTAGGATTGAATCTTGGGTCTCTTAACTGAAAATACCTGCTTACCTGACCAATAGACCAGGAAAAATCTAGAGAGGTTATAGGGCCAATTCTTGGAAGTTCAAGTGTCAGTCAAAAGAATGGAAGTTTTTTCATGGAGCTGTATGGAGTCCCCAGAAATTGGCAGAGAATGTCAAGAATAAAGCTATTCTTTAGAAAGATTTAGATGGTTATGATGTGTACGATAGATCGGCCTAGTCTTTCTGGGACTGACTTATCCAAGGACTCAACTTGCTGGATCTTTCCCCTTTGAGAAATGGGATAGCTTCAAGGAGAAGAGGCAGAGCATATATATATATATGGTGTCAGGGTTAAAGGGCTTTTGGCACCCAGCCAGCACCCCTCTCCCGTTTATAAATGAAGAAACTCAGGTTCAACAAGTCACTTGCCCAGTTGTTTAGTTGTTGAGCAGAGTTACAGCCAGGGCCCTTAATTCCCAACCTCTAACTCTCCCAGTTCCTTCAAGTAATTGCCTATCAGGGTCTGCAGAGACCATGCTCTCTGGTCTTTCCTGACCCAGGACTTTCCTGACAGCCAAGACTCCCATGTATGAGCAACAGGGCAAAGCTGCTCTCTAGCACTATGGGATTAGTTCATACTCCAAGCCACCAGTATCTAGAACAGCTAGAATGAAAAGTTGTCTGATCAAACTTAGCTTCTACTTATCAAAAAGAAAAGCCAGGACAATTTTTAAAAGCTCAGGTGATACTCTCTATAAGGAAGGGATGCTGGCCCACAAGCCAGGCAGAGGAAAAGGGGTTAGAGTAGCAAGAGCTCAGCCAGGTTATTAGAAAATTGGAGTCTTCTAGTTCTTGTTCTTCCTCCTATCTTGCTAGATATCTCTAGACAAGAGATTACTTCTCATTTTCTTCACATATAAAATGAGAGGGTGAAATTTGATCAGTTCCTCAAATTCTGTACCACACAGAATATCCCTTTATTAGATTTCCTCCCACACTCCACTAAATAACTGCAGTTTAAGTAATCATCTGTTGTGGCAGATGATTTTAAGGGCAAAGATATTATTTTTGAAATGGCAGAAAATATTGGAATTCCTGGGCCACACCCTCTGGTGACACATAATTGGTGACTCCGGAGCTCTAAGGTCTCTAGGACTCTCATTAAACAAAGATTTTATTGCTGAAAAAGACAGCAATCTCCAGACCAGACCTCCTGCTTCAAAAATGAAGTGACAGGCTAGCGAAGCAGGGGAGGGTGGAGGCTGGAATGGGGGCTTCCCTGGGGGGGGGGGCTCAGGACTCTTCCTTGTGCCCAGTGCACCCTCCATTGTACCCTGCTGCTCTCCTCTTTATTCTTCAGTTTGCACTGAATGTCAAGACTGTCTCCTCAGACCTATCTTCTTATCTACTTTGATTCTCCCCACCATCTCATCTGCCTGCCCACATGGGCCCAGCTAGTCTCCTGTCCTGCCTGGACTCTTGAGGCTCTGCAGCGTCCCCAGGGAGCTAATGCCAGCTCTGCCAAACAACCTCTGTCCTGCTGCAGCCCACGCTCTGGCAAGGTACTAAGGCATGTGGGGCCCTATCTGCCCTGCATGTGGGGGAGTTACACAGATACCACACGGATGCCAGGAAGGCCTGCGGCAGACTCTCAGGGCCCTAGGACAGCCAAGACCAAAATGACAGCCAGTTCCCAGGCTTTAGCTGGGTCCCAGGGAGCTCATTCCACCCTCCTCACCTGATTTCCAGGAGTCCCTGTCTGCTCAAGCTACTAGGCTTGGCATCTAACCTCTGCCTCCCTGGAAACTTAGAGAAAGTCACAGGTACATGGTTACCAACTAAACAAATATAATATCTGATAAGGGCTATTTCCTCTAAGCACAATAAAAGAGTGAATTTGGGAACTGAGGTGCTATTGGCAATGAATAGGAAGAAATTCTCAAAACCAATTACTCAATGAAGCAAGAAAGAATTCATGGAAGAAATGAGATTTCAAGATCTGTGTAAAGAATATGTTATCCCTATCTCTCCTAGAACTTAAATGCTTTAACTTGACCTTGCTTCATCTGTCACTAAAGAACTCAGAAAGTGGGCTAAGGATGTGGTTCAATGGTAGAGTGCTTGCCTGGCATGTGTGAGGCCCTGGGTTCTATCAATAGCACTAGAGAAAAGAGAAGGGAAACAAACCAGAAAGACTGACAGGAATTCTGATAAATTTAGAGCAATAAGGGGTGGTGGCATTCTTACTTTCTCTGGAATGCTTTCATTGAAAGCCTCATTTTTGCTTCTGAAAATCCAGTGGCCTGCCTTGACCAATTTCAGAGACAACAGATGTGTTCAGATGTGCAAGGCAGTACCCTTTCCAACTCACTGGAGGTTTCCTGACATCCAGAGCAGCCACAGTAAGAAATTTAGAAACATGAGCCAAAGTCATCATCTCAAAGGGACCCTCCCCTTAGTCACCAAATTTGTCCACTTCCATTAACAGGCAGAGAACAATATGTAAAATGTCATTTGTGTAAGCTGCTTAGTCAAACTGAAGGGAAAACTTGGTGTGTGGCCAGGGAGCCCTGTTGTTCTCATGCAATG